AAACAGGACTATATAGAGAGTTTTAATATAACAAAATGGACAAAGCAAGGATGTCCGCTATCGCCTCTACTATTTATCTTGACTTTGGAAATTTTGAACAAGAATATTACACAAAATTTAGAAATTAAACGATTGAGGATAAATCAGGAAAGATATAAATGGATAACTCTCAGACACAAGAAACTATTATATCTAGAATGATTTACAATTAGGATGGCATGCCTTTGTATGGTATGAGAAAAATAAAATCCATAGATACTTTCAAAATCACTATATAAAGTTGTCTTCTGGGTTTGTCAGGAACCTTTTGATCTTCCACTTGGTGCAGAATTTATCTCCCAGTTGATGTCAGCATAGTCCCCCATTACTATTGTGGTATGAATCAAGATCATGTGAAATATTAGTGCCACTTCATAAAACCCTAGTAAGACCACACCTGGAATACTGCAACCAATTTTGGTTACCATACTACAAAAAAGATGTTGAGACTTTGGAAAAAGTTCAAAGAAGAGCAATTAAGATGAGCAAAGGCCTGGAGACTAAACCATATGAAGAACGGCTGCAGTTTTTGGATTTGGCTAGTCTAAAGAAAATAAGAATTAGAGGTGACATATTAGCAATATTCCAGTAATTGAGGGGCTGGGCTGCCACAAAGAAGAAGGTATCAAATTCTTCTCCAAAGCACCAGAGGGCAGGACAAGAAACAATGGTTGGAAACTAATCATACACTATCAAAAGCTTAATTTTTCTTGACATCAAGGTTGACATTCTTCAGTGCACAATGTTAGAAATACTGATAAACCTATGAGTTTTAGATTGCTGGGGATAGAAATGTTTTGTATCAATTAACTTTCCTCATTATTTAATTTAAATGTTTCTCCAGAAAACCACTGAATTTAGTTATAAGTAAATCAGTCCCTTTCTTTCTTGGATGCAAATCATCTCTGTTATATAGCTTTTCATCAGACCAGCTGCAAACATAATAGCTTACTTAACCAAAACCATTTGCTTTACACCAGTCCTTTAGCCACATATATACACTGGCATTTTCCTTTTTGCTCTCTAAATACCGGTAAAGTTTTTTGAAAAACCAATGCTGCAGCATATTCTACTACGTAAGTACATGCCACAGGGTCTTGGATCATTTTGCATTGAAAGTATATCTTTTTCAGACAGATCATTAGGGTCAAGATGTACAACAACATCAACATCAACATCACGGTTCTTACTAGCATTCTTGACTACCTTAACAATGTGTCTGTTTTTTCTGCTGGCAGTAGCACCAGGCAGACATCTCACCTCTTTCAAAACTTCCACATCCTTTCCTAAATTAACATCTCTTACAATTGACCCACATACCGGAAGGTGACTTCTCTTTTTAGATACTGTCAGTGTTCCAAATATCATCCAGAAATAAATCAGAGTCCAAGGCAGAACTATCCTTAAACTTCCAATTTAATAAGAGAGACATGTTGGTACATCTGTGGCATCCCGAATCTGAAAGCTTCCTGGGTTCCAACTCAGTTGAAAGTTCAATATCTTGCCCCCACACTCACAAGTTCATCACATGGTCCAATCTTCTTCTGCCACACTGGCATTTCCACCCATCTAGTTCTGGTCAGGTGCACAGGTGCAGAGACAAAGCATGACCTTGGGCTTCTAGAAAAGAATGACAACAACACATTCTACAATTCTACTCCTTACTATTCCACCTCCCAATTACTACACTAATGAAACATCATAGAAAAATAATAGAGAGTGTGGCAGGCCAAAGATCCTAAAAGGAATATAACTACAGGCCTGACAGATACTTTGCTCACCTTGCATGACTGATATGCAATACTTGATTCATACCTTCCCTTATCTAAAACAATTTATTCCACATGGACCACAATCTCCTGCTCAGTTGAGTCATCATTATCATCACAAACAGCTGAACCTGCCATCTGAGTTTCCCTATTAAATTCAGCAATAGTACTGTATCTATTATGCAGGGACACACCAAAAGTTTTATGGTTCACAGCTCTCACTCTGCCAGATACCAAAATTGTTCTTACTGCCCTTCCCTGCAGGATCTTGTGGTAGAGAGGGCTGACAGCGGGCAGCTCAATAAAACAGACTGGCTAAGTTGGACACCTAATTTCAGCCTGGAGAGCAGAGACAACAGACTCTAGATAAGCAATCATTTTATGTACACTAGCAATCTGTTTACGAATAAGACAGTATCCAAATTACCATGAAAGATAGTTGTAAAAGAAGTGTTGCTCTGAATTCAGTCAGACATTCTAAAATAAAATTGCAATCAGAGAAGCACTTAACAGGGATGCTGTTTTCAAACTACTGCTGTTTTCTAATCAGGTCAATTGCCCTCACAAGGAACAATTTAACAGAGTCAGTGCAAACAGATATTCTTTTGCAGCCTGTTTCAGAATTTGAATTATATGATTCACACTCCTAATGGCCTGTGGGCCACAGTCTTGGTTCACTTTGTTTCAGTCCTCCTCAACTCATAGTGAGCGGTTCTTCCAGCAATCTCTGGTGCTATGCAAATACAACGCAAATTCAACCATTGACTCAGCTCCCAGGTGCTTACCTTGGTCCACTGGACTTAGTCTCAGTCCTCCTGTTATTTTAAAGCTATATCTGTAACAATAAATATTTGTTTTGAACGTTGTATCCATATTTGGTATCAACTATTGTACATATTTCTGTTATTTATGATTTTTGTGTCATCTCTCTTCATCTTTATAAAAAAAAAACCAAATTGGAGAACACCGGCATTCATCCAACACCTCTTCCAGCTTGATGGGAAAACATTGGTAACAACGGTTAAATACCATTTTATATTGTTGTTTTTCAAAATGATAATAGAAAACCTTCAGAAAAATTGCATGGATGGAAGGAAAGTGCCTTTAGTCCATCTGTTTTTGCTAACAAGGCCTCAGTGGCATACAAGGCCTCAGTGGCATACAAGGCCTCAGTGGCATACA